CGCCCTCCCCGCAGCCGCCGCCGCCGCCGCCGCCGCCTCCCCCGAGCCTGCGGGCGGCGCCGAGGACGAAGAGCGCTCGCTGCAGCACATGCTGTGCGCCATAGCCGAAGAGCGCAGCCGCCTCAGCCTGCGCCGCGAGGTCTGCGGCCTCGGTGAGTGGGACCCGGGGCGAGCGAGGCCGGGCGGCGGGGCTGGAGCGGCGCCGGGAGGTGCGCACCTCTGGGTGTCTGCGTGTCTCTACGTGTGTCTGTCTGTCTGTCTCTGCGCGTGTTTCTCTGCGCGTCTCCGTCTCTCCGTGTGTCTCCGTCTCGGTGCGTGTCTGTCTCTGTTCGTGTCCCTGGGGCTCCTTGCGTGTTGTGTTTTCCTACGCGCGCCCTCTGGTCCCCACGTCTGGGTCTTGCCTGTGCCCCGTGTCTTGCCTCTGATTTTGGTCCCACGAGCGTCCCCCACGCCCGTGTCGCTGTGTCTTTTTCTGTTTTCCGGGTCACTCCGTGTCTTCCTCTTTCCTCTCTGTGGCTCTGACAGGCCCCTTCCTTTCCCAGAAAGCCCTCTCCCGGGCCTTGGGGCCTCAGTGCTGCTGCAGCGAGTGTGGGCGCTGGATTTGGGGAGACCCTTAAGCCGTCACTGCAGAACCGGGGCCCCGCGGACTCTGGGCAGGCCTCCCAGCAGGCGTGCCCTGACCACCATCCCCAGCTGACCAGGAGGGCCACGTCCCCCGACTCCTGAAGCCTTTGTCTTCCCACACCTGTGTGCACCCGCTGTTTCTGCTTGACCCTTAGCGCTAACTGGGGACCTGTTGGGTGGTGGTCCCCTGAACCCACCCGCTTGGCAGAGGGAGCAGGGCTGGCCGCCTCTGCGGGTGTGATTCTGCTCTAAGGAGGCCCTAAGTCACAGATCTGCCGGAGAGGTGGTGGGGGCGGCTGGCATTGTTTGAAAGCGCCTGGGACTGCAGGTGTGGGTGGGGTCTCCTGGCTTGGCTGGGTGTGAGGTAATCGCTGCTGATGGAGCGAGCGTGCCCAGACTGGAGTGGTGGGAGCCCCCTCCCCTGTGGTGTCTGGTTTGTCGTTTTCTCCATGAAAAGACCCCTCCCTTCCTCATATTGGAATGACTTCATAGCACATTGGCTGCCACCCCCACCCCACCCTCATCCCCAGCCAGGGCTGGGGATTTCTGAGAAGCCCACAGCACTGTGGGGAAGGGAATGTCAGCCTTGGAGATTCCACCAGTCCTTCCTTCATTCACCACTGGGGAAACTGAGTCCCAAAGAGCCAACGTATCCCCATAAAGTCACAAGGCCTCAGGGGGACGGGGCAGCCCCAGGTGGTCCAGGCCCCTCAGCAGGCCACGCCCTGGAGGATGGATCCGGAGAGGAAATAAACTCAGTCCTCCTTTGTGTAGGAGGCAGACTTAGTACTAGACGCCTCCCCTCAGGGAGCAGGTACCAGCCAGCCTGCTCTTGGAGGGAAGCTTTTCTCCTGTGCTGGGTGGGGGTGAGGGTGGGCGCCTGCAAAGTGGGAATGGAGGAGGACACAGATTTTTCTCTGGTCTGTTTTCTGAAAAGTGTCATGACTTAGTTTTGAGCAGAAATAGAAGGATCCACATTAATTCATTCAGAAAACATTCACTGAGCACCTACTGTATGCCAGGCTGCATGCCAGCCTGGCAGGTCCCTCTGTCACCTGGCACAGAGTGTCTGAAATGGGAGGGGTCTGAGGGACCATCTGCTCCAGGCCCTTCAACCGTTTGCTCAGCGACTCCAGGCAGCCCCTCCCCACTCCCGTCAACACACTCCTGCCTTCTGACCTCGGAGCATTTCTCCCCCCTGTGAGACAGTCCCTATTCCAAGGAACGCGCAGGGCCATCCCAAGAACAATAATAATTAGTTCTAGCAGCCGGTATTTACTGAGCAGTTACTATGTGCCAGGTGTCTTATGTGTGCTCTGTCAATTTGATACTGAAATATTATCTCCATTTCACCGATGAGGCCCCTGAGATTCAGAGAGGCAAGAGACTGGCCCAGGGACAGCCAGTGAGGCTGTGGCACAGCTGGGTTGACCCTTGGTCGGTCTGACCCCAGAGCCTGCGTGTTTCTCCCCTCCCCCCTGAATGTGCCCTGCTAGGTCTTGCTGTATCTACCACGCTGCTGCTGGAGAGAAGTGCCCTGTACTAGGCCGAGGGCAGAGCCTGGTGGTCACGTATTACTGTGTCTCCTCTCCTGTGGCCTCCAGTCTTTCTTCACACGCAGGCTTCCTGGTCTGACCCCTCACCTTGCCACATATACCCCTGAGCTCCATCCCTATAGTCCTCTGGTGCCCTGAACTTTTTTTTTTTTTTTAAAGATTTTTATTGGGGAATTGGGGGATGGGGACAGCACTGGGGAATTGGGGGAAGGGGAACAGACAAGTTGCTGTCCTTTTGTTCTTCAGTCTAGTGTGGAGGACGTTTCTTCACTGGCCCAAGTTAACACCATCATTGCGCTCTTCTCGGGCGAGGCAGATCAGTCGCCGGCTTCTGGACCTCTGCTCACAGCAGCTTCTAGCCGCTCACGCTGGCTGCTGGCTACACACGGTAGCCATGGCAACCCACTGCAGCAGGGGCTGCAGCCTACGCCATTGCCGGCGACTCAGGGCAGCCCAGCTCCAGGTTGAGCTGTTGTTCAGCATCTTAGCTGTGGAGGGCAGCGTCACTGGCCCTCATATGTGGGATCCGAACTGGGGTCCTCTGGCATCCCAACCCAAGCCAGCTCTTAACCAATGTGCCACTCTGCCGGCCCTGGTGCCCTGAACTTTTATGCTTGCTGTTTTCTCAATCTGGAAAGCCACCCCTACTCACCTGGCCTGCAAACACCTACAGGTCTCCCCTGACGCCTCAGCCCCAGTGCTTCCACCTGGGAACCTTTCCTCTGTGCCCTGTCTGCTGCCCGTGCTCTCTGTACCAGGTACATGTCTGCTAGACGATCAGGGTGCTTGTGGCATCATAGTGGTCTGTGTGGCTGTCTCTCCAGTTAGCAAGGGATCCCTCCAGGGGGTTGCCCAGTCTGAGTCTGCTCCCTGCCCAGCACAAGCAGATGCAGAGCAGGCGCCCAGTAAACATTTAGCAAACAGATGAGAGAATTAATTTCTGGACTGAGAAATCAGGGGTGTGGATGGCCAAGGAGAATGGAATCCTAACCTCTTAGGGGGACTGGCGTTGCCCGTCTCTTTCATTTGTCAGATGAGGTCAATGGGACATTCAGAGAGGGGCAGGCTTAATAGGGGCTTGAAGCCAGTGGTTGGCCTGAGTACCCAGACATGAACCCAGATCGTCAGCCCCAAAGCTCTTCTATATCCAGTGGGTCAGGACACGCTCTCATTTCCACTTTACAGCCGTGACAACCTGTTACATTTCGGAATTCATTGAAATCTCCCAGACTTTGTTGTTGTTTAACTAAAGCTTAGGTTACTCAGAACTGCTGTGCCCGCTGAGGTTGTTTTGAAGGTGTAAGGGAGGTTCTGGTGGAGACGCTTGATCCTGGACAAGCTGCTGTCATTTCTGAGTCACTGTGTATGTCTATGAGATGGGAAAAGGCGGCTGGCCCCTTATGCAGGGACCATCGCTTGGCTGTCATGATGAAAGGCACCTTGGAGACTCAAACCTGACTTGAATCTCGTCTACTCTGGCCTCTACAGTAGAAGCATTCTTTGGGCGCTTGCTCCGTGCCAGGCGGGGAGACTGGCCCTGATCCCTGCCTTGTGGGAGAGCACAGCTGAGCCATGGAGAGCCGCCAGGTGTACAGGTGACTTAGCCGGAGTAAAAGCCCTGCCAGAAGCACCCGTGGCTGGGGCCACTCTGAGCAGGATTTTGGTGTATTGAACGCAGGAAATGGCTTGTGGATTCCAGGTAGCAGATGAACCAAGCTGGCTGGCTGAGGTAGCTTCTGTGGAGCCCCAGAACCTGAGCTGGGAAGAACCAGGTGGTCCGATGCCCAGGTGTGTGATGCCGATATCTGGACCAAAGGGGGATAACATAGCGTGACACTTCTGGGGTGTGGACCTTCTCCTGGGCCCTGGACGTCAGCCTAAGTGTTCTGTGCGGGCGGCTCCCTCTCAACAGGGCAGCACATACTGGTGCTCGGTCAGGCCACATGGACGTGACCTGGCCCCAGGCCCAGTCTGAGTCGTGGATAGATGCTGTGAGGGGAGGGCCCTGCATCACACTGGTTGTCTTTGGGCCCTGCTGGGGTGAGCATTTTTAGAGCTGTTTATACTGGGCTGTCACCCCATTTAGGTGGTCTAGGGAATTCTCTCTCTGTCTGGAATGCTGTGTGGCAAAAGGAGTGTTTTATGCTCACTATTTCCTTTTATCCTCAAAATAATCTTACCAGGTAGATGGTATACTCTTCTCTTTGTCCTGATGAGGAAATGCTGGTGTGGAGGTAAGGTAACATGCCCCCAGTCGCATGGCTAGTCAGGGCTAGAACCTGTCTGAGCCCAAGCTCTTAGCAGAGGTGAAGCCCACCCACACCTGTCCTCAGCTGGTAGCCCGGCTGTAACAGGTGTGCACAGCTGCCTGGCACAAGGTAGACTGAGGAAGTGCCAAGTCGAGATGTGAGAAAGAGTATGTGTCTTTTAGAGGGCACAGAGAAGGGAGCCATGTGGCCTTTGTGAGGGGCTGAGACTGGGCAGGACTTGCCTGGGTGGGGGAGGGGAGAGGCTAATGGGGTTGCAGGGGCAGCAGTGGGCGCTGAGGCTGCAGTGTTGGTTGGGGGCTCGAATGCCCGGCTGAGAATTTGGTGCTTCCTTAGCTGGACCTTAGGGAGCTTTGCGGGAGTTTGACTTGTGGGATGGCCTGTGCCAGAGACGCCACATCACAGAGGACACTGCAAACTTGCTGTGTGCCAGCCGCACTGTACCCACAGCAGTGCCTCCTGTAGAGATGGGTTTTGTTATCACCTGAGTTGCAGATGAGAGGACCAAGCTTCAGAAAGGAAAGTGACTCCCCCAAGGTAGCTGGGAGGTGGCAGAGCTGGGGGTTACGGGGTTCCAGCCAAGGCCTGTTGGATCAAGTAGCCATTTTGCAGGGTTTGTGGAATGAGCCAGAGAAATGAAGGGGGAAACAGCTTTCCCGCGAGTGCCCCCCAGTGCTGAACACCTGCATGTGCCAGGCACCTGAC